ACAACGCGCTTTGGTTAGCAATAACTATCTTTAGCCATAATGTAGGTTTCAATAATATCATTTTTCAACAAAAATGAATGTTAAAAATCTAGAAACATATCACACTTTTCTTTAAAATTATCTTAAAACACTCAGCAGCCATTTATTATAAACTCAGTGAGGAAAATAAATCATGTAAGTCATATAATCTACAAATATCATCATAATATCAATTATTAATATTTTTGGCAAGCTGTGCTGTAGTGTAATATAAATCTCCTCATTTAGTATTTCACATCAGCAGCCAAAAGCAGTTGATTATTTTGCAATCCTAATCTTAACAATTTATTGTACTTTTCAAGTTTCCATGTTTTTTGACACAAAACCCAAGAAATTAATCCATCGCTTTCATAGGACTTAACTATTGTCATATCCTAAGGAACAGTACAAGCTGTTATTCCCCACAGATGAGCCTTACGTAAACTAAACTGGACTTCCAGGAAAAGATTAAGTTGTGAAAAATGTTGCTCCCCCACTTATTGCCCTATCCTACCGCTTTTAAGAGTTAGATCTGTCTCCTTGCTAAAGACGATAAAGGACAACAGATTGTGTAAGGTTTTGTCGCGCCTTGTCAAGAGCCAAAAACTGTCATCCGTATGTTGCACTCATGTTTTTCTATCGCACAAAAACCGCGTAGTTTTCAGAACTACACATACTCTATAGTCTCTCTCACTAAATATGGAAGAAAAAAAAAAATATCAGTTAAGTCTTATTTAATAAAGGCCTAAAACCTCAGAAATGTAACTGCCTAACGTAGTTCTTAATATGCATAAAAGATACATAGTAATGAAGTAATTTACTAGCCAGCATCATGTTCAGTAAAATACAAGATTCTGCATTTGAAAAGGTGCTGGGGTGGTGGTAAAATGCAGGTCTATCTGAGTCCTGCAGCAAAACAAGCCTGTGGCTTTCAAACGCAAGTTCCTGTGTTGAGAGAGGTCCAGTGGGCACATTTTTTTCAGCAAAAAATAAATTTATAAAGCACAGGTTGCATAATTCTCTAGGGATTTGTTAAAGAAGGAGGATCAAAAGCAATGATATCATCACATTCTACTCTAAGGATGTACATAAAATAACCCAAAAAACTGCAACAGCAATGGGCATCAGAAAAATACGGATTCAAGTCATGAAAAAAGAACAAACAAAAAAACCCCCCATGCACACTGTACCTAAAAAGATAGCATAAGCGATGTGTTAAAACTACATTCCTTATTTTCAAAACCTCTTGAAGAATGGAATATACATTGTAAGTCATTCTATCAAACTTTTAGTGCCCTGTTTGAGCTCTCCAATAGCTGAGGAAACATCAAGCTTTTACAAATACCTTTACTGGAGTATTTAAGCGATCGGCTCACAGTTGTACACAATTTTGCGACAGTGCATGTATAGGCACAAGCCAGCGGGCTGAGAACCAGCGAATAGAATCATGTACACAGGGAAAATCTGAAGCTCTGAAAGCTCCTTGTATTTTAGGCTAGGGGTTCAGTAAAATAAAGCTAAGTATAGCTGCAGCTGCAGGATGAGAGTGGGAGTTCACAAAGCAAAGACAATAATGGCCATCTTTGAAATCTGATTAAAGAGGTCGCTTCCACCATGGAGAGTTCAGGCTGGCAGTGCATATGAATTCAGGAAGTCTTAAGTACCAGTCCCTGCTAAAAACTGAACGGTACAGCATTTCAGCTTCCGTTCACCTGCCACAGTCAAGTATTTTTACTTCCTTTTAGAGGGAAGAGGAAGAACACCAAATTTCAATGGAGATACAGATAGAGAAGTAAAAGCTTCTACAAAACACATGCAGAAGAAGAATCCGAACCACTCCCACATCTCAAGTAATATTTTAATCACTCTGAATATCATTAACACCTTGGGTTTTTTGTTAGAAGCCTGATCTCATCCGCACTTTCGCAGGAGTGCCTGTTTTGAGTATTACACCAGATTGCATGTGAAGCAGCATGAAAATTCAGGTGGTCTTGAGTAAGGAAAACACTGTAAGCATCTCCAAAGGACTTACAGGGTAGATGAAGTGGTGTTTGAAGTCTGAAGAGCGGCTGACATTAAAATACAAAGTGCAAGATCTTTATAAGGGTTTAAGCCCTTCTTAAATACTTCCACTGTTATTTCCTGTACAGACAAGTATTTAGAGTAGATTCAACAATATTAGACTACTGCTTCTATTAGTAGTACAACTCAAGTAGTAGATTTTGAGATTCTAGTTTGTGAAAGCTGTAGCTTAACTTGAGAATGCACTTGGCCCAAAAGTTGTCGCTACACTGAGTAGCTATGTATCCAAGTCCTTCAAAACACATACCAGCAGAATTTACCAGATGATCTCCATTTCTATTTCTTACTGCTGTCTCTGTAAGTAGTTTACAGATGGAACTATTGTAGACCATACTACCAGAAATAATGCTTCTTCACTAAAGAGATGAACAGAGTAAGATGCTATATCCTACATGTTTTTTATCGCAACTTTGTATTAAAAAACATACGAAAGGTATAATACACGCATCAAACCAAACCACATTTATTTCATCAGTCACAAGTGCAAATATAGCAACAAGTCAGTTCAGCAAATTACAACACACAGAGAAGAATGTAATGTAAATGCTAAGTACACTGACAGACCAACTTCAAAAGAGCAGCAAAAACCAGTTTCTTCAAATAAAAACTTCTTCCTACGTGTAATCTAAAATAACATAATAAATCTAGATCAGGAATGTCTCTGCTAACTCATGTTTAGCCAGGTATTCTGTTATTAACAGTTCGCATTATCCAGTGTGCAAATAGCCTGTCCAAGCTTCCTAGTAACAGATGTTTTGGTTTTAAGCAACTTTTACCCGATATTTAAATAATGCAGTGCTGATACCAGTTAATATGTTCTGCTATTTGATATTACATTTTTAAGAATATATATTTTAAAAAAATCTAAGTCCAATTTCAGTGTACATATATAATTCTACCTAGATCCAAAGTGGGCAGACACAAGTCATCTCACTTTTTTTGCATCGTCTTTAAATCTGTAGTTAAAATATATGCAGTACTTACGTATAAAATAGAAAGCATTCCCATTAGGAAGATACTGCAGTGTAATTAGCCGTTTTTCCCTACCACTTAGTAGCCAAGGAACAAGATTTATGCTTAACACCCGATCACTATTTTGCTTTACAGAAAAGCAAAAGTTGACTACCAGTATTAGCATCAGAATTTTTACACTGTAAATTTAGTTAGCCTTCTTCTTTGTTATGAGTTGTTGCTTCTTCTCTTTTTCTTTATAGGCAATGAATTGAGAGTCTGTACCAAAGATTCTGTCCCACCATGTGAAGGTTGAAGCATAATTGCCGATAAAGTTCATGTGATGGAAATCATGAAAACGGGCCCCAGCGTAGAAAGGCACCAAATGAAGAGGGTTCAGCGGAACATCATAGCCACTACAGGGGAGGGGGAAAGAAAAAAAAAAAAAAGCAACTATAGTAAGGATTTTTCCCAGATATAAACCACAAAATATAGACACTAACTTGTTGTTTTTATAAAATAAAAAGATTTTTTTGGTATTATAAGGCCCTGAAGTAATCACTGTAACACTGGCTTAATAGGAAAACAAGATCCCTCCTATCCTAGCCAAGTGCTTCTGTAAACTATCCCACAATGGCTTTGCCACTTGCCGAACTCTTCAGCTCAGTTTCTTAGGCAGCACAAAAAAATTTAAGCAAGTCACCTAAAAAAATCACAGTGGCTGACTTCCTGCTGGCTTAGCAGTTTTAACTGACTCAAGAGTGACGTTAGAAAGGAGGAACAAGAAATAACACTGTCTTTTAGTGACAAGTTATGAACATCAGCTCAGCTCCTCGTCAAACAGCATCTCAAATCAACTACAATTGTAGTACTTCTACTCTTATTTTTAGCTTACTGCAAGTTCTTCAAATGTTTAAAATTCAAAATATAGGATTAAAGTAATATTAAAACCAGAACAGTTTGCTTTAGAGGGATTTCAACTCTTTTGCTTAGTAGTACTGGAAAGCATCTTACCACCACCTAGTGGGGACAGCACAAGGGCATTTGTAATAAACACCTCATGTAGACAACAAACTAAAATGCTAATCATCAAAGGAGATTCATGTTTTGCATCAATTACTTTATGCTATGTCACAACATATACTTCTCAGTCTACAACCAGTATTTAACTAAACCAGCAATGATGTATACGATGAGTTGGTTAGGAGGTCACGTTCCACTAAAACACTTGACACAGCTTACAGTAAGACACTATATGATTCATAATATATTTACAGATACAAGGTCAAGTGTAATACTAGCATTTCAAAAATGAACTCTGACTTGCCCCTTCCTCTCGAACACAGAAAAGAAAAGCTCATTCATTTGCAGATGAACCCAGCTAAGCCTACTGGGACTTGTGCTAGCATTTCAGAGCCAAATTTGAAAGAAGTCAGTTATACTACAGAGACAAGAAGTCTTGCCCTTTGTATCTACCATAAATAAATAAAACCAACCTATTTATTTATTTATTTAAAAGACAGTCAGTGGTCATATAGCCTAAAGTTTCTCTTTTCTAGGAAAACTGGCTGACAAAGTATCAAACAGAAAGAACTGTTGGCTAGAATATCATATTTTGTAATTGATTTTTGGTGTTCTAATATGTATAAGGTCACTTGTACACCAAATACCAAGAGCCAGACATCCTACTGAGGCACCTAGCTTCTGACACCCTCCTCAAGATGCTCCAGCTACAGCCTACACTCTTTTAATCGGCAACATTTGCTATTAACACTACCTCAAAACAGCAGACAGTGTAACTGTTCAGATTGTGTCATTCTTTGTAAGATGCATAAAAGCATTTTATTTCAGTGTAAAATAAACAGTAAAGCTCAGTGAAAGAGAAAAGTAAGTTTAAGACAAACTTAGGGAGAAGAGAAAAAGCAATTATTAAAAAGCAATAAGGATTTCACCTGTGTACGTCAATGGTTTCCATCAAGCGACATATCACCCATGCCCACAGAAGAATCACATGGTTACAGAAAACAACAATTCCAATAAAAAAGCCAGTTCCAAGGATCAGTGTTTCCAGAGGATGTGCATATTCTGCTTGCATTCCAAATGGAGACTAGAAAGAGATAACAGGCAGGAAAATAGTCACCATTTTTTATTTTCTATACCCCCAAATCAGAATCACCATTTTGTGGTACTCTCCCCTTCCCATTACCCCACAAGACTACAATAGGACAAATGGAATGACGTTGTGGGTAAAGCAAATGGTCTGACTGAGCAAGGGCCTTAACACAGTTGTCCAGCTCCTTGTTGGGAAAACAGAAAACAGTATTCCAAGGTCATAAGGATTATCATCCCATTAGTGATTCCAAACACTTCACTGCTAGTTGAAAAGTTGAAAACTTTTATTTAGGCTTACCATTACCCAAGGCCAAAGCATTATTTCAGGAATATTAAAAGTGTTTGGGAAGCTCCTATCAGCTTTGCTATACATCCAGCCTTGGAAGCAGAAGAAAGAAGGAAGCCAAAATATTCTGAGTCAGGATTCACTTAGAAATTTATTTTTAAAATAATTAAAAAGCCCCATCTTCGACAATGTTTTAAGATAATATCTGAACAGTAAGAATTTATTATGAGATTGAAATAAAACATTTTCTTTTCATGTTTTTTTTTTTTAAATATATACACATGCACACACAACCCCCAGTCATTCCTACATTTGGTTTACAAAAAAAGAAATTCCATAGAGAGTTTTCACAAGTAGACCACCATAGAAAGATAATAATTTAAAAACCTAATGCCTAATGCTCAAGGTTGTAAGTTTGATTATGAGAGGGGAAGTCCACTACGGCTTAAGGGCGATTTTAAAATCATCACCTTTTACTGTCAGGAAAAGGTTTTAGTGAAACAGGGAAAGTTTTTAGTGAAACAGTCATTAGCCTACTAGATCACTTCCGTGTGAACTGCTAACCACTCAAGAATAATGGCCAGAAGCTGCTCCTGCTAGAGACCTGAGGGGCTGCCAAGAGCAAGAGGAAAACAGCGGCTGCTGCTGCAGATGTATGTACATATGCATGCATCAATCAATACCAAGCTTCTCTGTTATCGCAGCCTATATAAACCACCCCTGACCCAGTAGCTTGCAGTTTACCTTAGGCACAGTATGGGTTATACACTGAAACACAGCAGCGGACAACCGCAGTAGCACTGACTTCTGTGATCCAGAGACAGCGCCATGTAATAAACACAGCTATACCAACTGTAAGGTGTAAGCACTGCTGGACCCTACCTGGCTCAGAACAGTGCCACCTCCAGTCAAGCATGGCTCATTACCTTGTGCTCAACGTCGGCTCCAACACCGCTCAATGCAGAACCACCCAAAGTATCTCTGTACTGCACTGTGCTCTCGATGCAGTATCACGCAACTGGCTATATTGCCTCAAGAGGCCTATATCCAAAGCTATAATCCTTCCCTGAATCATGTATCCTGCACATACCATGCACACACGCAGGCCGTGCAGGAGCCGCCTGTCTGGATCGTGTTCTAGGGATCGGCATGCTCTGGATAACACCACAGGTGGCGGAGAACTGATGAACAATCAAAACCAGAAACCCGCCATTTCCCCCTCCCCTAGCAATCGAGCATATAACACGCTTTCAAAAGCTTGCTTTCTCCTAACTCAACAGATACAATCAAATTTCAAAAGAGCTGAGTGCCACCTTTCATTCCCATTAAATGAAATAAAATTACAGGAGGTGTTTTCAGAAACAAAATGGATGACTGTTCTTGACAAAGAGCTCAAGAAAAGACATCTATCCCACTGTCAGAGGGATGCAAAATTCTTAAGTCTTTCAAATAAGACCTTTAAATAAGTTGTATGAAACCACACATACTAAAAACTACTAAAAAAAAAAAAAATAATCAAGGAATACATACAACAAACTCATGGTGAACCTTATGGATATACTTGTATATTCTCTTGTGATGCAGCAGTCTATGCAGGAAATAGTGCCAGGCATCCTCAATCACTGCACATCCAAAACACTGGGCAACCAGAACATACCTTTAAAAAGGAGAAGAGCTATTAGTTATAGAATATACTAGCAGATGCACAGTCTTGAAAGATAAAATAGTTACATGCCAATAAGGCTGGGAAATGCTTATGTGTATTACTGGTTGAATAACGGTGCATTGACACTACCTTTTTAACATACTAAAAATATTAATTACCAAGCACATTAGTCCTTGTACCTATCAGCTCATCTGTTGATATGCTGAAGTGAATTAGCACACAGTATAGCAAACTGTCATTTCAATATTACAGTCTGTAAAGAACACCCGTAGACTGTATAAGATGTAGATATAAAAACATAGAGCTGCATCAGCTATCTAAACAAGATAGAAAATAAATTTCCAAGAAACATGAGCCTCTGCTGTAAAGAACAGCTATCAGAAAAACAAACAAACAAAACCAAAAAGGCATTTATAACTAATTCAGTTTTGTTTAAAAGTGAACCAGTTTAGTGCAAAAAAGGAGAATGTGAAGCAGGTGGTACATTCTCTCCCTTGAGGAACACACTGCTGCTACAATATAAAACAAGGTGGAGGGAAGAAACACTTAGGAGGAATCAAAGAAAGGAATCAAAGAAAGGTTGCATAAAAATAACCTCAGAAAGTCCAATATTTAACCCATGCCATCATGAATCTTGCTTTGCTTCCATAAACTCCCTCCTAATCCCCCCTTCTTCCAAGTATCAGAACAATTTGGGCCATTTAAAAAAAAATAAATAAATCTAGAAAGCTCTAATTAGCTCTTATAGCAGTTAAGCATCAACAGAAGCAAGATTAACAAACACAGTTTACATCGCCCAAAAATTATTGCGTATTAGAGTTGATGACACTATTCGTTAAACATTCTGCCTCCAACTGTACGTAACTCACCATCAACATACAAGAAAAATCTACCTACCATCTAGGCATCTCTTCCCACTCATAGGGGATGTTAAAATACTCTGTGAAGTAATAGGTGCCACAAATCAGAGGAAGCTGAATGAAAAAGTGATTGAAGAGGAGTGTTTTGAAACACTTCCACTGTTTTTCCCATGTTTCTGGTTTATCCTAAGAAGAAGCAAAAAGAATCAGTTGTGTTACATACTTCTGTTGCACATAACTGAAGTGCTGCAAAAATTACTTTGGAGGCAGTTTCATTTAACCTTGGAAGACAGATAGCAGGTCCTGCCATAACACAAATTAACTCAGGCAACACAAATTGCACGGGATTGGATTCAGTTTCATCAAAACCTCTTGTTTTTCTAAGCTAGCTTTCTGTAAAATTTAAAGTAAGCCTCCCTTAACAGAGGTTGTCTTTGCCAGTCGCCCCAAACTATTCTTGTTATTTCAGTGTTTGTAATTGGCAGGAACATTTCACATTCAACAGTTTAACACAAATCTAAGTTTGTATTTCCATAGCTAAAATAATAGAATGTATTTCCATAGCTAAAATAATACAAAGAGAAGCTGAAGATAGAAGCTTGTGAAGAAATAAGTTGTCTTGAAAACATCCAGTTTTTGCAGGGAGACATTTTACCAATTACTGTAATAATTTCAGAAGCTGGTATTATTAATTTCTAATTCGTATTACAAGGAACTAGAGGAAAACAATCATCTTTAGATACTGGATGTGCCTTTGCTACCAATTAGGAGCGTGCAGTCCATCCTAGGCTTCATCCATTGTTAAAATACTTCAAAATCCTTTCAAGAGGGCGTGCATAGAGATACTTTGAAAGAGATACATGGTGTGCTTATTTAGTAGCAAGTAATTCTTTCATAATATAAAGATACACCTCTACCACCAGATGCTGTGATTCTACTATACCATCCCCTGCTGATATATAAACTTACACAGAGAAAATTTAACTTTGCTGACACAGAGATTAACATACCCTTTTCTCTCTATACCACCGTGGTGGAAAGGATACCCTCCCTCCAAATTAACTCCTTTCCTTCCCCAAAATCCACTTCTCTTTCTCTCCTCACACACACTGTAATTTTGCTCTGTCACTTCCAGGATGTCCACAGTGATAGAGAAAATGGGGTCATACAAATTGGAAACTAGGATACTGCGGTTATATGCTCTACTTCACATACTCAAAGACAAATCAGGAAGTATGTAGTTCACAACTTTGTCTTACCTGCTGAATTTTATACTTTTGCATGTATGGTATAAACTGAAAGACAAATCCAGGTACACAGAGCAAGAAGTATGAAACTTCATGAACTATAAGTGATCCCCAAGTCGCAATCTGGAACTTTGTGTAGTTATCCAGCATGTAATTCCAGGCATTTTTAAATGGTTGCTGCAAGGGATTGTCAGGCAAGAAAGAGTCTATATATTCCACCGCCAGATAAGCAGAGTTCAAGATATTAACGCTGTCGTTTGTTGCCATTGTTCAAACATAAAGCATCACAATTACAGTTCTTCTACAGTTGTTGATAAGTAACCTGCAAATTTTGAGAAAAGTTGAATAAACAGCAGTTAATCTTCAGAAAAAAAACATGACCTATCTTAGTTGTTACCTAGTTTTGAAGTAAAAGGGAAAAGGGAAAAGGGAAAAGGGAAAAGGGAAAAGGGAAAAGGGAAAAGGGAAAAGGGAAAAGGGAAAAGGGAAAAGGGAAAAGGGAAAAGGGAAAAGGGAAAAGGGAAAAGGGAAAAGGGAAGAAGGGAAGGGAAGGGAAGGGAAGGGAAGGGAATTCTCTTTCTACATAATAGTGTAAAAGAACAAAGCTTAAGATTGGTTTGAGAGGCAATCAGCTCTCAAGTTTTGAGATTAGGTCAAGGGAGCAAAAGGATAAAGAAATACTAATTATTACCCAATTTTATTTCAAGGCTTTTGCAGGATAATTGTATTCCGTACTAAAAGAGCACAGAAAGGTTCAAACCAGATTTAGAAATTACATTAACTGTGTTCTCCTGATTATCCAGCCTCATTCTTCTCATAGCTGTGAGCCCAAATCCATGCAAACTACATCAACACCACCGACTGCCTTTAGACTGCAGCTGGCTTGAGGCCATCCACCTTCCCGTAAGTAAGGGAGTTTTCATCACAGCTCCCAAAAGCATAGAGGCAGTGTTCCCACAGGTGCCCAGAACTTCTGCCATTTCCACAGAGTAGGCTGCTTGCTGGTTTGGGTTGGAAGGGTCCTTTAAAGGTCACCTAGTCCAACCCTGCAACGAGCAGGGACATCTTTCACTAGATCAGGTTGCTCAGAGCCCCATCCAACCTGACCTCGAATGTTTCCAGGGATGGGGCATCCACAACTTTTCTGGGCAACCTGTTCCAGTGTCTCACCGCCCTCACCGTAGAAAACATTGTCCTTATGTCCAATCTAAATCCACCCTTTTTTAGTTTAAAACTGTTGCCCCTTGTCTTGTTGCTACAGGCCTTAGCAAAAAGTCTTTTCTGTCTTTCTTATAAGCCTCCTTTAAGTATTGAAAGGCCGCAGTAAGGTGTCCCGGGAGCCTTCTCTTCTCCAGGCTGAACAACCCCAACACTCTCAGACTCTCTCCATAGGCGATGTGCCCTCTGATCATTTTCATGGCCCTCCTCTGGACCCCCTCTAACAGGTCCATCTTCCACCCTAAGACACGTGCTCAATTCATAGGCCAGAGGATGCTGGTTAGTCCCCAGTTGATACACTCAGACTAGGTCCAACAGAAATAACGCACCAAGCTCGGTATCCAACAACATTAGTTACCATTTTTCTTTCTTAGCAACAGCATCAAGACGCTACCATTTCTTATTACCAGCAAATACATGACAGCAGATACCATTTTATTAATGGTAAATACACGACGGCAGATGCCAAGGAAGCTTATAACCCGAGCTCCTGGGTTGTAAGGCTACTTACCCTCCCGAAAAAGCAGCCGGCTAGCCGAGGGACCAGCGGCCAGGCTGCGCCTGGATCAGGCTCGTCCGTCCCGTCCAGCCCCTGCGAGGAAGCGGAGACACCCTGGCACGCACCGCCCACGCGCGGGACGACAACGGCGACGAGGGGAACGCGCAGGGGAGACGCACGGCCGGCGGCACCCG